CAATTATTTCCAGGAACCACCAGACACGTACAAAACCAGTGAGCACAATGCAATACCTGAAGAAAACCAGAAACCAGAACATCACAGCAATGTGATAGCAAGATCTGAATTGGGCCTAGCACATGGGTTTTACACTGAAATTACTACTGAGATTAGGAATACTGCATTTTGGAGAAGGTATAGTTGCTTCCCATCTGCAAGATAAATTTGTGTGGCATTTCATTAAGGACTAGCACTTTTAACAGGTTTAGATTTATTTCAATAGAGTCAGGTGTTAAACTGCAGAGTGAGTATAAAGTATAACTTCCTTGCTTAGTTTCAAGCTGCATTTAGTAGGAGTTTAATGATAACATCTCTATTAACGAGCAGAGGTCAAATATTCACAACAGGAATGGAAACATACTTTCTGCAAACTCATCGTTCAAACACCCCCTTGAAAGTACTGTGCAGCAAGTGCTTTACTTTTTTGGCACACTGCTCAAATAACCACCTGTCCTCTTCGCTGCTCCATGTTGAAAATGAGCACTGTATCACTTGGCTTTCATTGGTGATTATCTGGCATTTTGGCAAAGACTGGCAGAGCTCATGGCAAGGAACAGGCTCTAATTCGCAGCAAAATGCATTGAAAGTTGTTGTCATCAGTACCTGCGAGTGTATCTCCAGGACACACTAGATGTAAGTTATACGATGCCCTTTGCCTGTCTGAACACACAGCACAACGGTTGTGACGTCCTGGAAGCATCAAGTAACTGAAAAAAATTGAGGTCTCATGGACTTTAACACCAAAAGAAGCCATATAATCAGAAGAACATTACTATCATCATGTTTTTGGTGTGTAATCTAAATTAAGATGTGCATTTTAGGACAGAGCAGAAGGACATTTCTGCTGCAAATTTCCTGGTCCCCCCCTCTTGCCACATTCAGGTTTGGAACACGGAAACTAAATCCCTTGTGGATGAACTGTGCGTGAGGAGTGCATCCAGTGCTCACAGCACTCAGTGCACAGCACCAGACTAGACCCAGTCCTGACTAGTCCCATCCTGGTGTAGATATTGGGTCACCTCAATGCCATTTGTCCTTTTTGAATCAAAAAGAGAGAGATGGGAACTTTTCCAGAATTCAAAGAGCTGAAGGTGACTCAGCCACCTAAACAGACAGAGGTGCTTAAACAAGGGACAGGAGGCAGGTGGGGTAAATCTGACAGAAAGCACCTGAAGTATTTTGTCAGTCTGCTTCCAAAATCGGGCTTTTGAATTTTCCTTTATTACTTCAAATTAATTTACTACGTGGGCTGAAGAAAAGGCTTTTATTACCAGACCTGAAGAAGGCAGGAGTGAAGTGTGCCCTCTCTCCAAAATGTTTTATTATTATTTTATTGGGGTTTCCCAGTAATGTAATTTATTACCTTGGGACTTCCAGGTTTGAACATGAAACAGTGTATGAATAACAAACACGGCCCCAACACATCTGTGAAAACTGCTGCACATTCCAGCAACTACTTTGTGCTCCTTTTTAAAAATTCTCTTCAAGTTCAGGACAAAAAAAAGAAAACTGTGGTTGCCCTTCAAAAATAACACACTTATTCTTCCAGGAAGGTGTGAAAACACTGATCCTGCATCCCAAACTGACTCTCGTATTCTGGCTGCCAGCAGCAGTGACGGGGCCTCTCTAGGGCGACTGATATTTTACATTACCTGTGGAACTCAAGGCTACCAGGTACAAGAGCAATTACAATTTTAAGGCAAGCATAAAGATCACTATTGTGCTAACTATGCTAAGATTGAAGCTAAAACTGATGCTTTGAGGTCATCATGATCTAGTTACTTCAGGTTCAATACATTTTGCTCCTCCCCATACCTCAGGATGGCCTCAGAACTGTGCGTGTGCCCACCTTTCCTCTGGAGCACACAGCGCCACTTATTTTAGTCTACTCCAAAAAGACAAATCAGAGGTGTGAGGCTGAGGCAAATCCAAATAAATTTAGGACAGGAATTTTCACAAGTGCTAAGTATTGGCCTAATTCTTTGCTACCTAGTCAACAGCAGCAAAAGTAGGCCAAGAGAGTACTTTTGCAAATGACCTCGCCAGGTGCATTTTAAAGAATTAAGAATACATGATTATCAAATATTATTTATAGCTACTACATCCTAAACCCATAAATAGCACTTATCTCTACTTATCACCAGTTACTAAGAGCCTTATCATTCTACATCAATTAAAGCTAATGTAAACGTATGATAATAAGAACAACAGGAAGACGTCTTTTTAAAAGAAGTACCATCCTGAGTTGTTCTCAAACCTTTAAAACTGCATGAGTTCAAAGCAGCTCCTCAATATCATAATTCATCTCTTGCAACTCTCAACGCAATAAGTTCACAGAAAAATCCAAGTTTTTCCATATCTTGTAAAAGAAGAAAAGCAGAAATTTAGGAAAAAAAAATTGAAAACTGCAGTAAAAATCAACGTTATGCAATTATTTTGTTATGCTCTGGAAGAAAAATAAAGCCTTAACAGCTGCTTCAGAGCTGATTCATCAGTGAAAGAACACTGAAGAGAGATTTTGAGCAGCAAAACTGGAAGTGTACATCTCATTCTATAACTGTAGTCAATTAAGGTTTTGTGAACAGAAGAATAGGAACAGCCCAATGAGAGTCACGTGGACGCAGCAAGAACAGGACTGAGCATTCCAAATCAGAGTTGCAAGCCACACTGAGTGACTTTCACAGAATTAAAAAGAATCTGTGCTGAAACCTGTAGCTATTATTAAATTATTAAGTTACATTCACTCACGTCCACCTGGATAAACAAAGCAACAGTCTTTTCCAAGTAATGCTTTCATGGCTTTCTCTGTTATACTTCAAATTGTCAGCTTTAATCTATACCAGTGTCTCATCTGGCTCAAAAAGGGAAAGAATTATTTATAGACTACAGATACGCCATGTACAACTACTGGAGATGTCTTTTCAAGGAGGGTATTAGCTGTTCCTGAATTACCCTAAGATTCATACTATTGAAGGACAAAGCACAGAAATACTGCCCTGTTGCTAGCTGTGCTCTTTACAGAAGAAAACTTGCAGAAACAAGCATAAAATAGTCTAAAACAACTGAGTTATTAAAACTATCTTTGAAAGCAAAAGTTCAAACAGCTTAGGGAGACAACTAACAATAACAGGAAGTATTTCAGAACTGCCTTCCATCAGATAGGTGCTGTCTGCAGACATCGTCTAATGCAACCTCTGTTGAGTAGATGCTTTTGTTAGCCACAGACATACTACTCTCCGAAGTAGTCCATTATGCAAAGAACCGGTTCCATCTAGCCCACCTCCTTAAGGAGGCTACTGCAGAAAT